CAGGTCCCCCCCCCCTGTGGCGGCTCTGTCCCCGGCCACCACGTCTACCCCGGTGCCCTTTGTATCGCCCCGCTCCCCGCAGCACGTCGTGCTCTACCCCATGGTGTCCAAGAGCCTGCGCAACATCGCGGCGGGAAAGGACCCGCTGGAGGGACAGCGCCACTGCTGTGGCATCGCCCAGCTGCACGAACACCACTCGCTGGGCTACGCTGACCTCGATGAGCTGCAGAAGAACCCGCAGCCCCTCATCTTCGACATCGAAGTGCTCAAGGTGAGCATCAGTGCCCGAGGGATGCCATGGGGCGGCCTGCTGACCTTGGGGACCCAAGGGTGTTCAGGGCTCTCCCAGAACCATGGGGCCCGTACACACTTGCCCCTTCCTGTGCTTACTCTTGGCACCAGGCACCCGGGGCTCTTCCCATGCCATGGGGCAGCTCCTGGGGAGACCTTCTCTCATGAAATGGCACTGGCAGGTGGAGGAGCCTGGCTCATACCAGCAGGACCCCTGGGCCATGACAGACGAGGAGAAGCTGCAGGCCGTACCACTGATCCACAAGGAAGGCAACGAGCTCTACCGGCAGGGCAAGGTGCCCGAGGCAGCCTCCAAGTACTATGATGCCATCGCGTGTCTCAAGAACCTGCAGATGAAGGTGAGCTCCTCTCTGCATTACCCTGCCGCACGCGCAGGCCTCCCTGCATCGCCCTGGGGAGCTCTGCTGCATTCTCCCCTTCGCTTTTGTCCTTCTATTGGGCAGGAGCAGCCTGGCTCTCCAGACTGGATTGAACTCGACCAGAAGATCACCCCGCTGCTCTTAAACTATTGTCAATGCAAGCTGCAGTGCCAGGAGTACTATGAGGTGCTGGATCACTGCTCCTCCATTCTCAACAAGTATGAGGGTAAGGAGTCACTGGCTGACCGCAGTGAGCATCCGGGGGGCGAGCGGGCGCTGTTAAGGTTGCGTGGGGCAGGCCAGGGTACTCTGTCACACGAGGCCAGCCCAACAGCTCTCTCCTTGCAGACAACGTCAAGGCCTACTTCAAACGGGGCAAGGCGCATGCGGCGGTGTGGAACGTGGCTGAGGCACAGGCTGACTTTGCCAAAGTGCTGGCGCTCGACCCCTCGCTGCGCCCCATCGTGGCCAAGGAGCTGAGGAGCCTGGAAGCCCGCCTACGTGAGAAGGACAAGGAGGACAAGGTCCGCTTCAAGGGCATCTTCTCCCAGTAGAGCACGCAGCTGCATGAGAGAGTCCAATACTCTCTGACCAGGTTCTTTTAGATATTCCACATGTGGAATGTTTATTAATGTTTATTAATGTTTAATACAGATTTTACTTATTTGAAGTTATTTGACGTTACGCAGGGTTTTGACTTAGCAGTGATACAGTCGTGCACTTAAATCACGTTATACGTTCAAATTAGCCCTAGCAGAGCATAGCGATCGTGGTATACAGTAGAAGCACAGTATAAATGTGAATCTCGTTGCCAGTCTGTACACTATGCTCATCAGCACACTGCCAAGTGTCTGCAGGCGCCAGGAAGGACTGTGTGTGCGTGTTGAAGCCTGCTCAAGCCTACTGCTCTCCTTGGAATTCCTTCCGTCGGCGCGTGGTTTTTATACTTCGTGTTGGGCTGTATGATCCCCGTGACAGTCTGACTGAGTTGTTTATAGTCACGGGGTCTCCGGTGCCAAGTCTGTGCCCCATCTCTTATTGCTTCGTGCCTCTACTCTGCTCTGCCATATCCTGTGTCACCTTTTCTCAAGGCCTCTCAGGCCAGGCCTGTATTTCTTTATGCTGCCTCATTCTGTTATAGTCCTGAATATCTTATTCTACATCAAATAACTGCTTGTTATTGCTATCTGTGTAAAACTACAGTCATGCTATCCAAAGATAAACAAATATAAAACAAAATTAGCCACAGACCCTGGTCAATTAGAAACATTGCCGTCACAGCTGCAAGCAGGCCAAGAAAAGTTCAGGCGCAGCAAGCCTGACAAGAGGATCATAGTATATAAGCAGATTTAATACGTACACAAGCGATGTTGCTTTAACAATAAGCTTATCCCTGAAACTTGTTTTTTCCCCGCTCTAGGTCCACATTTCTTTAAGGCGAGGACAGTCAGTTCTACTGTATGTTACTCGATAGAAGCTTAATCGATAGAAGGCACCTTCCCATCTTGCAGCCTTGCCAAGTGCTGTCGGTCTGAGCCAGCAGCTCAGAGCTTGGCTGGATGCAGCTCCCCAGCCACCATCCCCTCCATGGCCGTGCCCAGCGCCGAGATGGGATTGCGGTCTTTGAGCTGGGATTTAGCCTCGTGCCAGGGACTTAGCGCTGCCAGCAGGAGGAGGTGACTGCTGGGGGCAGGGGGAGGAGGTGGCAGTGGCCTGAGGCTCAATGCGCCTCCCTCACCTGAGGTGCTCTGGCCGGGCCAGCGGGGCTGCCAAGCCAGTAGCCAGCGCTCAGCTCTGCAGCCACCGCGCAGGACGCGGGGTGCCGGGTCAAGGGCCACACTGGCTTAGGAGAAAGCAGCTTAGCAGCTTGCACAGGCTGGGGGGAAGGGAGCAGCCCACAGCTCAGCAGCCAGCTCTGAGCCCCGCAAGGAGCTCAACCCGCCTGCAGCGAAACCAGGGCTGGCAGGGGAGGACATGGGGCAAGCACAGCCTCCCACTGCAGCACTGAGATACCCCCAGCCCCAGGGACAGAGCCTGCACGGGTGCAAGCTCTGAGCATTCGGCCACGAGCCTCTGGGCACACCCCAGGGTGACAGTTTTGTGCCTGGATCCCGGGCACCCCCCCGCCAGGGTTGTGCCTGTAAGAGGAGCCACACGCACCCTGGCTGCTCTTCTTTACATCGCTTTATTTCACACCGCAACAAAATGAACAGAACAAGGAACCGTGTTTGAGTTGCAGCCCTTCCCAACAACTCTCAACACCAAAAGGAAATAAATAAGGGAGTGCAGGGGTGGGTAACAAGGATGGTGCTGCCGAGCCCCAGGGTATGACCACAAGCCCCCAGCGCTGCCCCTGCCTTGAGGTACAAGAGGGTAGGGGGTTGGAGCCGCAGGGGGAAGAAATGCTGGGAGAGGAGGAGCAGGGCAGGAAAGCCCTGCAAAGGCAGGGCCAGGGGACAGGGCAAACCCTGCGGGGGTGCAAAATGCAAAGGGCAGTACCCAGCCGCAGTTCCCATGAACCCAGAGAAACAGGGACACGGGGGACAGGATGGGGAGGCTGGGGAGAGGTAGCAGGCAAGGGGGGCAGCAGGCAGGACCCAGGGAAGCTCGGCGGCGTGAAGCACCGTCCTCCAAGGCCCTGGGAGGCCCAGGGCCTCCCTCTCCATGGCACAGGCTCCGGGCCTGCCATGGGACATGGTGCCGGCTCATGGAGCGGGCGCTCCGGGCTGGGAAATCGAGGCCGTGGCCATCTCGCGGCAGCAGAACGGGAGCTGTCCCCCGCTCACTCCTCGCTCTCCAGCTTGAGGCTCACGCTGCGGGGCTTGGATCGAGGAAGGCCCGGCGGTGCCGCGTCACGCTCCGCCTGGCTCGGTCCCCGCGAGCGCAGCAGCTGGCTCTGCTTGCGCAGGAAGTCGACGGGCGCCGGGCAGCCGTAGGTGCTTTTGCCCAGCGTGGGCCGGGGCGGCCCTTTGGGGGAGTGGGCCAGGGACGCTGCCTCGAGCTGGGCCAGGTGGGCGACGTAGCCTTCGGAGAGGAACTGCAGGACACGGAGAGCTTGAGGCACGGCAGCTTCTCCCCGGCCTCGCGACCCAGCGAGGACAAGCCTGCTCCTGCCACCCCGATCACCATGTCACCCCGCCAGCTTCACCTCCATACCTGGCACTGGTTGTTAAACTTCTTCACAGCCCGGCCCACAATGTAGATGTGCGCTGGGGAAAGGCCCAGGGAGCTATAGACAGAGATGTCCTTGGTGGAGCCGTAGCCAGCGACGATGGTGATCTCTGCCTGGCCACGGACAGGAAGAACCGCATCAGGGTACGGACTGACCCTTTCCCCCATGTCCAACGATTCCCAGGGCAGAGAGACCATGGATGTCCTGGATCCTGGCTGCCTTGGGCTGGAGCCCAGGGAAAAGCATAGGGACCGAGACTCCCTCATCCGCAGTTACAGTCCTGAGCGTTGCCCCTTCTCACTCTCCACAATGCCACAAACCTCCACATCCCAACCCCAGGGCAATAATGGCAACACCAGGCTCTGCCATAACAACCAGGCCCAGCTTCCAGCACCATGACACAGCTCCTCCACGCTCAATCCCAGGGATGGAGAAGGGGACCACAGCATAGCCCCATTCCCCACCACCATCGCTACAGGCCCCAAGCCACCTCAGCAAGACCTCTGCTCCCATCCTGCCTGAGTCTCCAGCCTCGAGCAGCCGGCGCTGGGGCCCACCTCACTCCGCAAGCTCTGTAGGAAAGCTGCCTTCTGGCGCAGCGGGTCGTGGGTGAGACCGTCGCAGAAGGAGACGGCGCCGTGGGGGAAGTTGTGCTGGGAGAGCCAGGCCACCACGCGGTGCTTCTGCATGTCGGGGCGGCCCGTCACGTAAATGATCATGTAGCCGGAGTCCTGCCAGTGCCTGGGGGAGGGAAGAGGTGTCAGTGCACGAGGGAGGCTCAGAGGGCCTCCACACCTGGTGCAAAGAGCAGGGCCACAGGACAGGCGGCAGGATGGGGTTTGCGGGGCACATAGCTGCGGGGACGCAGCAAGCACAGACGGGACCCAGCCAAAGGAGGCACCAGGGCAGAGCTAGGAGCTAAGCACAGCCTAGTGGGGGACAACAGGCAAAGTACCACCTCGGTGGGGCCAGGCAGAGATGGCTGCGGTCACCAGGATGCAAAGACTACAGGGGAATACGACTGTTGAGTACCCCCACTTTACCAGAAACATGCCACAAACCCCCTGCTAAACCACTAACATCAAGGTGTTTCCTAGGGGAAAGGGGAAGTTGCCACTTACAGAGCAGCCGGAAGGGCAGGAAGAGGCCCGAAGAGGAGAGGGCAGACTCCAGCTCTCAAGAAGCCCCCAGAGCTTCCCCCATGCATTAAATCCTGCCCTGTGCTTGCCCAAAGGCCATGCTTATTCCTCTGGCAGGGATTTCAGCAATGCCAGACACACAGCAGAGCTGCATCGTATCACAACAGGCTTCCATGGTTAAAACCAACCATCGGCAGAGTGCCACCAGGAAGAGTTCAGAGCATCTTTCCCAGGAAAACTGCCTCCTGAGCCTGCTGCCAGGACGTGCTGAGCAGGCCCAGCATTGCAGCGGGCACAGCCGAAGCAGCTCCCTCCTCCCAAGATCTCATCTCCAGCCCAGCCTTGGGAGAGCACCTGGAGCCCAGCTGCAGAGCAGCCAGATCCCTGCAGCTGGACACTGCCAGGCTCCAGGGAAAGGGGGGAATGTTTTTCTGCAAGAAATTGCCAGCAGAGGAAGGGCTCTAGGCTCCAGGCAAGGCCTTTGCAGGGAGCAAAAGGTACCTCCAGCTCTCCCAGGGGACAGAAGGCTGCTCTGATGTCCCCGCTACCCTGATCTCGTGAACAGGCCATGACAGGAGTCACGATAGAAGATGCCGTTTGCCCCCTTGGGAGAAGGGCACCTACCTTACAACATCGACAGCCCCAGCCCGCACTTTAGGGTCGCTGCCCATGATGGAGACGCTGGCTGTGAAGGAGCCATCGATGCTGAACACGACTGACTCAGTGCCCCGGGCCACCACGGTCAGATACGCCTCCGCGTAGCTGTGATCGCCCCTGGCACAGGAGAGCGGAGAGCATTAGGGTCCAACAGCCCAGCACCCGCAGAGCTGCAGGGACCCTGCCACCCTGCAGCACCCCACACACTTGCCCTCCAACAGGGCTCCCTCCCAGGAAGCTGTGAGGGTGCACACAGCGAGGACTAAGCCGAGATGCCCCTGCCCGCATCACACAGTGTCAGCCCTGGCCACCCCTCACCTCACCACCATGCGCACGGGGTATATGCCAATGGCCAAGGCCTTGTCTGGAGGGATGGTGAAGGTGAGGCGCCCGCTGCCGCTGGTCACCTCCGTGCCATAATGCAGCCACTTCCCCGACAGCGGCTGCGTCATGATGTAGATATCGACCTGGGTTGTGGGGAAAAAGAGCCAATCAAGGACTGGCCCCAGGAAGCCCATCCATCCCATCAGGTCCCAATGGCTGTTGTGTCCCCATCATACTCCACCCAACCACACATCTACAAGACACGCTGTCTCTTTCCCACCATCTCAAAGGATCCTGAAGGGTCATGCTCCTTATAATCCTTCCCTTGCTACCTCAGGCCACAGCGGACATCAGCCCTATCCTCCTAGGTCCCCAGCAGGTC